ATATAAACCATTTATATCGTTGTTATTTCTTCTTTTCTTGCTGATAATAAGTTAATCAAGTGCATTTGATTAGCACCACATGGAAGCAGTAAGTTGTGGACACTGCTTCTGCATCACTCACTGGTGATGAGGGTTTCACTTTAATGTGGAGCCATTTTGGTCCACTCTTCTTTCAAACTTGTTTTAATTCAGCCACATTGGAAGGTTAGCTCCTGTTAAATAAATGAAACACATTGTAATATGCCATGTATAGTTGTTCAGCCAAGGTTGTGTTTATCAAAGACCTGTCAAGAACCAGAGGATTGTTTTTATCATCGTGTCTTTATGCGTAAAAAGAGGGTGTGCTGGTCATGTGTTGTGGGGATGAGGACCAGCATAGCATCAGAGGCATCTGCACAGCACACAATAGTGGGCTACTGGAACAAGAAGGCATAAGTGGACACCAACAGCTTGAATGCTACTATGCAAGTAATCCCACAGAAGGTGTTACACGAAGAGAACAGAGGATGTGGTCTCACATAAACTTCACAAATAAAAAATGTCACTGAAGGCCATTTGCAATTCTATTCTGAGCATTTTTTTATTTAAAAAAAAACTGCATTTCTAGGACTAGCTCTGAGGAAACTTGAATACATGATATATTATCACACAAGTGTGGGTAAAAACAAAGTAAGAAAAAGAACAAAAAACACCTCTTTAACAGGTTTAGTTGGTTATGGCAATGTAGTTGTTGTCACTGTTCCTTTCAGAGCTTAAGGAAGTCCTCCAATTGTTCCATCTCTATTGCATTGTCAAATGCACTGATGTCCTGTAAAAGAGAAGACATGCATGATGGATTCCGAGAAACAGAGTGAAAACACTATTAGTACAAAGGCATTATTAACCTATTTAAAAATATTGCACTGTGTACTGTACATTTGTCCAATATGACATACAACACAACAAGCCAGACATTCAGATAACTGAGATCACCATTAGCTACAGTTATGCTTACTGGGGTAAGCATATGTTCATGTTCACAACCCACAAAAAGACACAAACCATTAAAAACACAACTCAACTGCACATGAACACGCAAAACAGCACCCTACTGTTGGGTACGCATTTTTTAATCCAATAAGGGTTTCTTGTTTTATCTTTCTTTGCATTTCTTTATAGCCCAATTCTTTCAGTTGAATTTGTTCTTGCACTGGATAATAAAAAAGGAAAAAATGGCAGATTTAAGAGAATGAGAAAAACAAACAATATTAAGATGCTTTGTGGCAGGAAAAAGTTGAAATCTTAACTCCTGCTGTGGCTGATTGGCTTACTGCTGTCAAATAATTAATATCTTTGGGAAAGACTATCTGGACTGTTTCACACCTCTTTCTGATGTTGTCTTTGTACCACAGCATTTTTTGAGCTTTAACCCTATAATGCCCTTGGTATTATATTTGATTCATGAGTGTCTGAGACCTCTATCTCATCAACACGATCAATACTTGCCATAATTTCAAAATATTATGGACAAAACTCTTTTTTTTAACTAAAAGTAACATTGTTGTTAACAAAAAGTTGCCAATGTATCAAATGTGATTCAGAAAATATATAATAAATATATAATAAAAAAATATATCATACACAACATGACATAGGAAAAAAATTGCCTTTGTTATATGGGTTAATAAACATCTCAGTTCCAAAAAAATCTTAATTTTCTGGCTATTTTTGATGGGTTGGGTCTTCAGGTATTTTTGGCAATATTCATTGTTTGCATGCTTGTAGTCTTTATCTGTTATAAAAAGTAAATTGAACACAGTCTATAGTGCAGTTAAAAGGTTTCAATGTTTTGGAGATATTCGGTCCTTAACTAAAGTATTACACAAACTAAAGTTTGCTATGGCAAAACGTTAACATGCTTCATTACTTGTGGGTACATAAATGTCTGTATCAAAAGCTGCCAATCAGGTTCTTTCCTCCTATCTTTCAGTTTTCTGATATAACTGTATATATACCATTTGTAAGTTGGAAGGATGAAAGGAATACTCTGCAAGCAAATAGTTTGTCTCACTAAGTCTAACTGGAAGGCTGAAATCTGATGAGTGATTGAATGAATAGGGAGTGTACAAGTCAAAGCATTGGTATGTATGCATTTCTCCATGTATTTCTGTCCCCTGGCTTTACTGTGTGAACAACCAGTAGTTAGCATACAGTGTAAATATTGATTTTAAAACTGTGTCCACGCCTTAGACTAACCACATGGTTTCTATTCTTTTTTTGTGTGACGACATCAGCAAGCGTGTAAATAAAACACATCTGATCATAATTTTAAGTTTTGAATCACAGGTTCAGCTTATTATTAGTTATTCTATGAGACTTACTCCACAGTAGACGTCTCCATTGAATATTTGTGGAGGAAGCGCGGTCGGATCTCCTGCTCCCTGCCTCATTAAATCCTTATCATCAGAACTCTGAGAAATGTCCACAGGTTGAAAGGGGATCTTCTTGGCCTTTAAGATAGAAAAGACTCTCTCTTGGTTCTTCTTAATCTGAAAAGGCATATTTAATCCGTTATCAAGACTAATAGCTGTGTGACTTGTTATAAAAAGTTTTCTTGTATAATAAAAGTTGCTGAGTTGTGCATAAAGAGCAGTAAGATTGTCTATAAAAGTAAATACTTTACACACATCTCACAATATTTTGATAGTATCAGTGATATATATTAATCACTGGCTAAAAATAAAAGAACAAGACAAGTAAGATTGTGTAACGTACCTGTGTAGAACCACTCACACTTGTAAAAAACACTTTGACTGGCATTTCTGCTATATTAACAGGAATAGTCCAATACAGAAAAACACTGAATGACAGAGTGGGAATGACAGAAGCGCAGAGAGAAGTGGAAAGTCACAGAGTGATCCTGTGCTAGATATGCAGGCACTGCTGGTGCAACCACACACAAAGTAAACAGGTTTGGACAACTCTTACCTGTCTGCAAGGACACACCTACAGGACTGAGTGCACTTCGAGTTGTGGCCTGTCTACTTCAGTTGTGAAACCAGTCAAGTACACAAACACACACACTCTATTTCATATCTTAGTGAGGACATCTATTTAACATAATGCTTTCCCTAGCCGGTTACCCTAACCGTAACCATCAAGAATGAATGTGTTGCCCTAATCCTTAGCCTAAACCTAACAATAAACTAATTGTAACCCTGACACTAAAGCTACATTTTGAGCCTCAAAAATGCCTTCAAACTGACAGGCATTTTGTCCCCCTACAAGTATAGTGGCAAGCCAATTTCCCGTCCTCATAAAGATGTCTAAACATGTATACACACACATAGATTGATAGATAACCACATTGCTACATTTCCTTAGGCACTTTCATTTCATCAAAGTTCACAGGTAACTATTGTACCTTTTACACAACTGCGTAAGTTGTGTTACAGACAAATTTTGGCTTGTAAAGTAAAAGCACTAAATAACAGACAAAAAGTTGCCAGGATTTCATTTAGCCCTGTATGCATGCTCACCTTGGTTGTCACTAGGACACTTGTGAGTTTACCCAAAACAATTGTTAATCAACTAGAAAACTATACACACATATGAAGCCTTTGACTTCATATACTTACTCATCCATGTCTTTACGGACCTTGCTTTGTGCACTGGTGTGCAGTCATGTTGGAACAGGAAGAGGCCATCCACAAACTATTTCCTCAAAGTTGGGAGGATGAAACTGTCCAAAAATGTCTTGGTTTGCTGAAGCATTAGGAGTTCCTTTCACTGGAACTAAGGAGCCAACCAACTCGACCAACAACCCCACTCAACAAAACTTTGACAAGTACCATTCTGCTGGGAAGTGTCAAACCCAGACTCGTCCATTGGTTTGCCAGACGGAGAAGTGTCCCTCCAGAGAACACATCTCCACTGCTCTAGAGTTCAACGGTGACGTGCTTTAAACCACTGCAACTGACGCTTTGCATTTCACTTGGTAATGTATAGCTTGGGTGCCACATGAACTTTGGAGGTCTGTAGTGATTGACTCTGCAGAAAGATGGGGACCTCTGTGCACTTCAGCATCCACTGACCACACTCTCTGATTTTATATGGCCTAATTTAATTGCTGTAATCACTTCCACTTTGTTATAATACCACTAGCAGTTGAATGGAATATTTAGTAGTGAGGAAATTCCATGAATGGACTTGTTGCACCGAGCTCATTCATACCCGTTCTTTCACAAATCTTTGTAGAAGCAATGTGCATTCCTAGGTGCTTGATTTTATTCACCTGTGGCCATGGAAGTGTTTGAAACACCTGAATTCAATGATTTGGACAGGTGACTGAATACTTGGTAGTACAGTGTGTACATAGACACTAAAGCTGGTGGGCCTAAATGTCACACCAGGAGGTTCTTTAACACAAGGGGGGAGCAAGCGAATCAGAACCCAGGGCACAGACTCAGCAGGTCCAATCAGTAAAGGTTTATTCCCAGAGAAGGAAAACAGGAATAAACACCATTAAAAAAATTGCAAAATAAAAAAAATGTTCTTTAAAAACTAAAATCCAAAATGTCTTGATGCATGCTCAATCATCCAGGTAAGTAAATCCCAGTAAATACCGAGGCATTTTCAGTGGGAGAAATATTTCGTCACTTATCCAAGTGACTTCTTCAGACTTCTCCATTTGGCACTTTAAATTTTGTTAATCTAAATATATTGTACTTTATGTATCTTATTTAATCTATAAATGTATTTTGACCAAAGGTTTACTGAGATATTTTTAAATTACAATGAGAATTTTACACAAAAGTTATGTACAACCTAAATATTTACATTTAATGAAATGTGTAAGTTATATATTTTTCCAGTATCGACTAATGATACGCTATTGATATAGTCAGTTTTGATACTCTTTGATACTTGAAGGACCTCTATAAAGTATATATTTAATCTGTGATTATGATAATTAAATTATGATGTGCAAATGGCCCATGTATAACAAATGACCCATGTTGTATATGAAGTACATATTTATTCTTATACCAGAAAAGATTAAGAAAGAAAAAGCAACTCATCATGAAATATAGTCAGTGTTAAAGTCAAACAAGATATTCATAATAGGCATCTTCGTAAAAGTCCTTGAACCTTGAAGTGTGAGAATCACTCAGTGAAGACAAAAATTACCAAATAAAAACACGTGAAAAAGACTTTTGCATGAAAGAGGAATACTCTGACAGGATAAGCATACATGTTATTTTAAACAAATCATTTAAAGTTCTCTTAAAAGACTGGAAACAGCTCAGGTTTAATGAAACAAAGTCTGAAGATTTATGAATTATTTGTTGAAAAAAGAATTTAAAAAAACCGACAATCCTTAAACAGTCCTAAAGAGCAACTTCACACAGAATGAAAGTGTTTATTTTGCTGATCTGAAATAGTTTGGTAGTCACTTTGCTTTTGCGTTGAAAACTATGGTTCAGAGTAGGTCATTGCAACATCACTATGGATGTGGTTTAGATGTCAAAAGAGAAATGAAACTTTTTGCAAATATTTCACTAAAGTTCTGCTTTTTAGCCTACTGTTATACTCCTCTTTATATTTACTAAAACCACATTACTGAGGTTATGTTTTCATACATGTTATCATGAAACAACAAGAGGTTCAAGCTCATAACACACTTTTCCAGCCAGGTCTTCGGGTGCCCTCTCAGCATTGCTATCAGTATCTGCATCAGTTTTACTCTGTTCTGGGCTGGGAGTGCATGGCTCATACAGTTGGTTATTCCTCTCTCTGAAGGAGAGAACAAAGAGCACAAAATTGGCAATTATAATCATATCATATATTTTTTAAACTTTCTTAAATTCAAAATATTTGTGCATGTTTGAAATGCATGTTTCATTTTTTCCCCTTACCTTTCATCAAGGGCTACAGTGGTTTTGTCCTCCATTTCTTGTTTTATTGCTGCTCCAAATCTGTTACTAAACTGAACAATGACTTCTGAAAATGGAGCAAACATCACCATAACGTTAGCAGTCATTTTTTTTTTAACATTGGAGTGAACCAATGAACTGATTCAAGGTGCTGCTGAGGATCAACACGAAATAAAGTTGATAACAGTGTAATCAGTTGCTCAGTTACACCTCAAGAAGACAGTGAGCAACAATGCACTGGTTATGAGATTCTGTTGTTTCAGTGTAAATTCACTCTCAGAAGTTATGCATATCACACCAACTGGTCTGGAAAGTACGGTAAATATAAATATCTCTAACAAATGATGAAGGTGAGACAGCCAACATATTGCCACTTACAGTCATGTGAAAAAGAAAGTGCACCTTCTTTTAGTTCAAAGGTTTTACTTGTCAAGACATAATGGAAATAATCCAGTCTTTATCAGATCTTAAAATGATCTAACTACAACCTCAGCTAAACTACAAAATATGACATGTTAAGCCATGTCGATATTTAAATCACAAAAAGTAAGCTGTGTGTGTCTTTTCAGTGTTTCACTTTGCGTACTCTTCTCACAGTTTTCTGCCTTACAGATGTGATTGAGAAAAGTGAAGGTATTGTTGATATTATAACTTTTTATGAGTTATTAATCCCAGAGGTACAATTTAGTGAATTTTCTGAAATAAAGTTGAAAAGGTTTAGTAGTAAAGTAGTTCCTTAACCAGTTTGATGTGACTGAGCACTGCTCAATTGAAAGATTTTCAGTGGGTTTACCACAGAATAATGCTGGTGTTTATAAAATCAAAACAAGGACTCCAAAGTTGCTTTAAAATACCTAAATAATAATGAGTACATTCATCTCTACAAGTGCCACCTCATACGTTATGCATAGTAGATTTTGTCCATTGATAACATCAAAATAGTTTAGAGCACTTTCAAAGACAATATGTATCATAAAAAAGAGGATAATGGAGTTATAAAAACTGTTTCTTACCAGAAACCCCCCACTTCTTTCTCCAGACCAGGAAAATAATAACCACGAGGAGTAGCAAAACTACTAGCACACCCACAACAGCTGCGACAACTGAAGAAGATGAGGGTGCTGTAGGAATAAAAATAGTTAGTAACAATAACCATATAAATAATATATAAAGTAATATATATTTATTGTTTTCAATTTCAGATCTTACAGGTAACGGAGATATAAAGTTTCCTTGAAGGAGCAGAAGAGAAGGACATTGCAGAGATGTTAACGCTGTAGTGACACGTATACGATCCTTGGTCTTTAAAATCTACTGAAGGGAGCTCAAAAGTGGCCAGGTATAAGACTGAGTAGCCAAATGCTGACATTGTTTCGGTATTGTTCGTGTTTAAATTTGTCAAACTGAAGAAACCTCTAGAGTAAATGGAATGAATAGAGCAAGTGACGGAGAAGGTGCTGCCTCGGGTGACTGATACTTTGTCGGGACTGTAGACCACCATTGCATGGGGGGACACCAGGGAGATGCTGGGTTTTTCCAGTTTAACTGCAAACAATATAAATATATAAATATATATTAGAAAAAGTCAAATTTCCAACAAGTATACAAAAACTGTGCATGATATTCACTGACCTACAACAGAGAGGTCAGCAGGAATTCCTTGAGGATAGTAGATGATTTGATTGGCCATTTTCTTTTGATATTCACAGTAGTATGAACCCTTCTGACTAAAGTCCACTTTAGGGAAGACAAAGGTTGCAGAAGCTTGATCTGAGAATTTCTCCATTTGAAATGACCCTTGGGTTTTTTTCAGGAGAAATGTACCGCCCATGTGTTCTGTTAGTAGCGTGCAGGTAATTTCAACTTTGTCACCCCAGTTTACCTCTACCCCAGGGTTGATCGTGATTTCAGGCTTCTGCAGAGCACCTAAAAGAGAAAATTAATGTTGTGTAACTGCCAACACGGTATTCTTACAAGCAATGAGATCATTTGTTAGTTCAAAATGAGCTATGTCTCTTACCTAAGCAGATAACACTGGCATCTTCACCATGCCCACAGTTATTTTGTCCAAAACCAGGATGTGAACAGTGTGAAAGTGCAGACTCTTGGCCTGAGCATTCCACGTTATCCAGCCATATAGGGCCACTGCCTCTACCAAAATGGGCACTTGCAGGTGCTGAAACGGCATGACCGCAACCAAGCTGTCTGCATACTACATCGGCATCGCTCATTTCCCAATCGTCATCACACACAGTTCCCCACTGTCCTTTATAGAAGACCTCCACTCTGCCGGAGCATTCACCTGAGCCACCCACCAACCGGACTTGTGCTGCATAACAGAGCAGAAAGAGTGAATACAAGTGCAAAGGAAAGTCCTTAAAATAATATTTTTGTATTAATACATGAATCATATAGCTCATATACAGACTTTTTCAACTAATAACAAAATACTGAAGTATAATATTACTTATATTATATAGTTTATTAGTGACTTTGATTGAAAATAAAAAGTCACTTTAACATTTTAATATGTTTTACATTTTGCTTTTTAATCTATAGAGTAAGATAAGCAGTGCTGTTCATTTAACGGGTTTCAAAATAACTGTAATCACATTACATTTCCCAGTAACGCGATAATGTAACACATTACTTGGTCAAATCCGGTAATTACATTAGCTACAATTATGTCATTAGCATGTGGTTTCCCAGTTCAAACAGCCTGTTTCTCATCACCTCTAGTTTAAAACACCAAGATGGTGACTACGAAAAAAGAGTCATCTCAAGGCTCCACAATAGGACTTCACAAACCAGTTGGTGACACTTGGAGCTACATTCATCTTTTATACTGTCTTTGATGTTAGGAAAAAATATCTGAGAATTTTGAACACACAATGATAAAAGTCTTTACCTGCACAGAGAACACCAGCATCATGTTCATGCCCGCAGGTTGCTCTTGTAAAACCTTTGACTGAGCATTGCTGAAGAGATGTCACATTATCAAAGCATGAAGAGCTAGCCTCCACCACTGGTCCACTGCCTGGGCCGTGAAAAGCAGCACCAGGAGCATTCATGGCACGTCCACACTCCAGCGTCTCGCAAACTGCTTGAGCTTTACTTAGAGTCCAGTCCGTGTCACACACTGTGTGCCACTGCTCGCCATGACGTACCTCCACTCTTCCAGAGCACTCATCGTTACTGTTAGCCACCCGGATAGCCAAGCTTCCTGTGAAGTCAAGTAAACCAAAAATGTAGCCACAGGTGTGGAAGAATAATCAACAAAATAACTGTGATGTGTTTAGGTATATTGTACACTGTCTTGATGCATGCTCAATCATCCAGCTAAGTAAATCCCAAAAGGTTTATTCTGTTCATCTGGACGTAACGTTTTCAGAGGGAGAAACATTTCGTTACTCATCCAAGTGACTTCTTCAGTCTCAGCTGACTGCAGGTTTCCCCAGTCTTATAAACAGTACATTGCATAATAACTGAAACCAGCACAACTGAACAATGAGCTGCGAGGTCAATTCTTTGATAATTAAAAAGCAAATTGTCATGACCGTTGATCAACAACCACTGATCAAATATTAATGATCAAGGAATGGACCTCATCATGTTCTGTTTATAAGGCTGAGGAGACCTGCAGTCTGCTGAGACTGAAGAAGTCACTTGGATGAGTGACGAAATGTTTCTCCCACTGAAAACGCTACGTGCAAATGAACAGAATCAGCCTTTTGGGATATATTGTACATTATTTAAATTCAGAAGAGCTGCCGACATTACATTCTGGCATTTTTTGTACAAATCTAATTCCTAAAGTTGGGACACTGTTTAAAATCTAAGTGAAAACAGAATTCAGTAAGAAAATATTTTATTCACAATAGAACCATGGAAAAAAAAATCAAATATTTCAACTGACAAAATGTAAGAAAAATATTTGCTATATTTCCAACTGCTCAAAGCGTTCCCAGATATAAACATCATCTTGCATGGAAACACATGTTGCTTTAAAACTTATATGCAGCATTTTGATTCTTTCCAGATTTGTAAGCTGCTAATTTCATAGTCATCAATGCTTTTCCAGAAGAATGTCAAATTTTGGTGTTTTCTAGGTTCTATTGTGAATCAACCATGGATTTATAAGATTCTCACATTTCTGAATTCTGTTTTTATTGACATTTCACATAGTTTCACAGGCTTTATTGTATGCTTTTCTCTTACCTGTGCAGAAAACACCAGCCAATACAGTGTTGTTGCAAGTCCTGTCTGGATATGGTCTTTGTGGACACTGAGTCAATGTAGACTCTCTTCCATTGCATTCAATTTGATCATTCCAGGTCTGTCCTGTACCAGGGCCAAGCTGAAGAAGCTTATGGGGCCTCCCACAATCCAACTGTTTGCACACCACTGTTGCATCATTCATGTCCCAGGATTCAGCACACACAGTCCCCCACTGGTTTTGATCAAAATATTCTACTCTTCCATCGCAACGAGTGGATCCACCATTTAATCTCACGTTACCTGAAAATCATTGTTTTCAAATTAATGTACGTGAAATCCAACTTAGGGGCCAGGTCAGAAACAGAAACACTAAATCCTGTTTACATTGTCTTAGCCTTTGTTAAGTTTCAGTGTCTGTGCGTCTGAATTCATGATACTTACACCTGCTGTTTGAAGAGGAGGTTAATCATCTGAACAGATGATGAGATAACTATGTATTTCATTGTTGCTTTACAAAGTTGCAGGCTAATTATTTTGTGTGCTTATACATCTGTGTGTACGTTGGCTTGCCTGATCCTAGTGACCTTCTTAGAGTACATGCTCAGGTATAGCTCACATGTCTGAACATAGCGACCATGATTTTGGTATTGGTACCAGATGCATCAACACATGGGTTTCAACTATGAAAAAATATCTGTCTGGTTGTTTGCATCAACACATTAATTGGAACCACTTATATTTAATATTTTTAAGAAGGCTATCATTGATTCACTTACATTTTGAAACTCTAATTTAATTTGACATAAAGTCTTACCTGAGCATACCACAGAGGCTTCTTCAACACGGTTCGTGGCAGATCTGCTATAGTCTCTAAATGAGCACTGTGTGAGAGAGGTCTCTCTACCACTACAATGGATCTCGTACCCTCTCAGATCTTCACCTTGACCAAATGACCCTGACATCTTGACAGGATCTCCACAATTCATCTCTCTGCACACCACTGTAGCTTCATTCCTCCCCCAGTTGACATTAAGTGCTGGTGACCAGTGTTCACCATGGTGGACCTCCACCCTTCCTGAGCACATGTCAGTCCCATTGATTAGTCGAATGGTAGCTACAAAGCAAAGAGGAGAAAATCAGCAATGAGCTGGTGTTCATATGAAAGAAAAAGTGAATTCATTGAAATCCATGTGATATTCTTATTAGTGTTGTAGAAATAACTACAGTATAATTTATAATAAAATGCTAATCAGAAAAAACAAAACAAAATAACATCTAAAAGTAAAAAGAAGGCATTGTATGAAATGAAACATCAACAGTTTGTACCTGAACAAATCACTCCTGCATCTTCACCATGACCGCAGTTATTTTCTCCAAAGGAGGAACGTCTGCAGTGCACAAGTGACGTCTCGTTACCTAGACAGTTGACATCATCAAGCCAGATCAATCCTTGGCCTTCACCAAAGAAGGCACTGGATTTGGCAGTCTGAGGTGTTCCACAGTCCATGGCTCTGCACACCACCTCAGCATCTCTGAAGTCCCATTCATCATCACACACTGTTCCCCACTGGCCGTCATGCAGAATCTCCACTCGGCCAGAGCATCGGTCAGTGCCGTTCACAAGCCTTAGTGGTGGTTGACCTGAGGGCACACATTAAGGCATTACCAATAAATATTACAAACTTTCAAATTGATTCTATTAAGCTACATGCAGTTACATGCATATTGTAAAAAACAGACTCATTATTCATTTTGAATAATGAGGGACCCTCTTATGTTAAAGACCTCATAGTACAATACCCGCCCAATAAAGCACTTCTCCCTCAGACTACTGGCTTATTTGTGATTTCTAGGATATTTAAAAGTAGAATGGGAGGCAGAGTCTTCAGCTTTCTGCCCCCTTTCTCCTGTGGAACCAGCTCCCAGTTTGGATTCAAGAGACAGACACCCTATCTGTTTTTAAGATTGGACTAAAAGCTTTCCTATTTTGTTAAAAGTTATAGTTACGGCTAGATCAGGTAAGCCTAAATGCTCTTTAGTTATGTTGCCGTAGACCTGGGCTGCTGGAAGTTGCCCATAATGCATTGACCATTTCTTCTTCACTCACTTCTTTTCACTCTAGATGTGTTTATAGAGACAGACAAACTTGTTTGATAGGATCTGAACTTTTTTCTCTTTGAGAGCAAGTGACTCCAAAGGGTAGTGGTTTATATGTTTTGCTAAAAAGCAAATATTCCTGGTTTGGGCATGGGAGGAGACATGGCACATGTTCTGACCACAGTGTGGTCCCATGTAGGCAGCCCACTGTAGGTTTGCTGAGTGTCCACACATGAACCCCAAGGGTTATATTAGCTAGGATAGTGTTGTAGGATAGTTTAATGTGTTCTGCTGACTTAATAACTGTTCCAGACCTCTAGCATTAAAGTCAGCACAACAACTGTGTGCTAGGAGCTTCATGGCATGAACTTCCATCGCTGAGCAATTCCTGAAACTTTGATGTAACGTGGATGTGGCCCAGGTGGATACAAAGTATAACTTTGGATGGATACAAAGTATAACTTTGGATGGATACAACTTTGTATCCATCCAAAGTAATACTTTGTATCCACCTGGGCCACATCCACGTTACATCAAAGTTTCAGGAATTGATCAGCGATGGAAGTTGGATGGATACAAAGTATAACTTTGTATCCATCCAAAGTTATACTTTGTATCCATCCAAAGTTGTACTTTGTATCCACCTGGGCCACGTCCACATTTATACTGTTCCCTACTATTCTTATTCACTCAATATTTTCTTATAATACAAATGACCTTTGCCTTTATAAATTACTAAATGCATAACTAGAAACCATTATGTTATCTTTAACTTGTCAGTGTCTACCACTGGGTTGGTAGATTTATTATTTCTGATGAGCCTCGAACCTTTAATTTAATTTACTGGTAAACAATTAGTAAAAAAAAGATAATGGACAAAAGCTATTCTTCTTAAATAATCAAACATGATGCTTGCTATCCTTGGAAAATGGTGGCACAATTTATCTGTATCTTTAGTCTCTTACCTGCACATGCGAGAGAAACACCTGCACATGATCCCATGTGTTCTTGCAGTTGACATTGGCTGATAGTGCTCACATTACCAGTGCATGTACTTGTGAACCCTCGCAGTGAGCTGTCACCAAAAAAGAAGTTGTTTTGGGATTTTATTGGCACTCCACAGTTGAGCTCCTTACACACAACTGTAGCTTCTTTAGGGCTCCAGTTATTATTACAAAGTTTCCCCCATCGGCCGTCATGGAAAACTTCCAGTCTGCCAGAACAGCCATCAGTCCCATTTATCAATCTGACTGTTTCTGCAAAGCAAAATTTGGTGTTGTTAAGAATTTCTTTAAAACTCAGTTTTGAGCAACAAACAGAATAGAGCCTGTGTTACCTGAGCACACGAGACCAGCATCTTCATTGTGGTCACAGTCATGTTCACCAAAACCTCTGTGAGGACATTGAGCAAGGGACTTCTCATGACCAGTGCACTCAATATCATCCAACCAAACCTGATCCTGGCCTCTCCCGAAGTAAGCCTTGTACTTGACTGAGAGAGCATTGCCACAGTTCATCTCTCGACATGCCACAGTTGCTTCTTGCATCCCCCATCTGTCATCACAGACTGTTCCCCATTGTGAATTATAGTAGATTTCCACTCTACCAGAGCAGCGATTAGTCCCATTCACAAGCCGAATGGGTTGACTGTCTGTTGGGTTAAAAAAAATGTTGAGGGTAAGTTTATTCAGCAAGGGGACAGTCTAACAGTGTCAGTTTACAACAAATTAGTGATAGTTTTGTGGGCACAAATGTGACTTACTTCCACAGACAACAGTAGCATCTTCACAACTTTCATTGACTTTTAGAACTGAGCACTGTGAGACAGAGGTCTCATTTCCAGAGCAGATGGCTTTGACTGCGGTGAGGTCACGTGCTTCTCCAAAATAGGGTGTTTCGGTCTGAGGGAGAGGATCACCGCAGCCGCCCTCTCGGCACACCACCTGAGCTGCTTCTTTGCCCCAGTCACTGCAAACTTTTTTCCACTGACCATCATGGTAGACTTCCGCTCTGCCATTACAACGAGTGGTTCCATTTGTAAACCGCACATTTTCTGTAAATGATGTTAATAAAAAAAATGTAATAACGAATATCTCTTAAATATAAAACTAAGAGGTAAGTCGGTGTTAAATAATATGGATGGATGGATGGAAGTTTTTTTGCTAAGTTAGCTTGCTAATTTTAAAGCCTTCTTGGCCAGGAGCTGGTTGGTTAAGGCCAGAATCAAAACTGGAGTCAGCTATCACCATCAAACAGGTTTATCTTGTTTGTTTAAGCTGATTTGCTTAGTAATCAGTGATCAGTAATAGGTATACGTGTACTTCCCAGTAAGCCAAATTGTTAATTTACCTGTTTTCATTTGACACTTTCACTAGACATTAAGGGCAAAAATAAATGTTTGTAATAAAGATTAGAAATATTTATTTTGTGTATATTAATGTATATGTTATTATTAGTACTATTATTATTATTATATATCATTATAGTCTTGTGTATATGAATGCATATATTGTACATGTTACATTGCACACTGTAAAATATGCTTTAAATGTAGGCCTTCACAACCTTTAAATCTTTATAGCAAGTATCAACACATAATAAATCTATTAAATATCAAATTCCTGGTGTGAACTACTTCAGTAGTCCAAAAAATTGGAGGAAAACATTATTACCTCTTTAGTTGGACATGGCAAGAACAAAAGACTAAAAATGGATGTTTGTGATTGTGTGATAAAATCTGTACTCATATTTTGTGCAAATAAATGAATCTTCTCTATAATATACACAGATAGCTGTCTGTATTTTAATACCAAACACATGAACACATGATTGCATGTTACAATTTATACAGGGTTATGATGGTTTCTACAGCAATATGTAAAATTCAGTTTTATCAGTTATATTTTTGTTTCACAGAAATATAATCACAGAGGAACTTAAAACAAGAGATACTATAATGCCGCAGACTAACACAAGTGCTGTGTTAGCTGTTTTTTTAGTTGTGCAGTATTTCTCAATTTCAACTACAGTTCCACATTTCATGGAGAGGGACATTTGGGGGTTTTGCTGAGCTGACACCTTGCTCATATGAAGGAATTCTACGTGACTGCTGTCAGTGGTAATGATAATGGTTAGTACAGTGCTTGCTTAGCTTAGCAGAAAAATCAGAGAATAGTGGAAACAGCCAGATTGTCCGAGAATGACAAAATCCACCTTCTCAACTAGTGTAACATTTCATGTGTTGCTTGTTTCATCTTTAAAAAAAATCATATGTAAACATGTTGAATTCATCAAAACGATATTATTTTTGAAGCTAAAGTAAAGTTCTTAATACATGTGTATAAGGAAAAACAAATACACAAACATCTTCTTTGAGAAAATGCTATTTGATAAAGTTAAACCTCACATCTGAAGTCAAACATTATTTAGGCTTACCTGAACAGACCACTCCTGCATCTTCACTATGGCCACAGTTATTTTGCCCAAAAGGTCTGTGTTGACACTTAAGGATGGAAGACTCATGGCCAACACACTGTACATCATCCAACCAGATCTCATCTTTTCCCTGTCCAAAGAAAGCACCTTTTTTGGCCTCCATAGCTGCCCCACAGTTTAGCTCTCGACACACCACCTCAGCATTGGCCATGCTCCACTGATCATCACAGACAGTTCCCCAACTGTCTTGGTAGAAGATCTCCACTCTACCAGAGCAACGCGAAGGTCCGACCAGCCTCATTTTCTCACATTCTGGATATGAGAAAAGCAAAACCACATAGGATGCACAATGTGTCGCCTTGGCCATAAAGCCATTACAATTATTATTTTTTAAATATTTGTGTGTTACTTACTGACCAGTAAACTGTAGAAAACTCAAGAGGCCTGCAGCAGAAATAGCAAAATGATGTGATTAAGCCTGACAGGCCTGATATGTAAATCTAGATATATCCTTCAGTTAACAGCCTATACTGCAGTCATAGCTATAATATGTGAAATATATTATAAATATGGAACAGTCTGGAATATTTTCTAATTGATCCAGTAAAGCATATTTAACACGTTCAGTCATCCAGGAGTATTTCAGTGCAGACACTAAAACTCCCATTGGTCACTTATGATGTTAACAAGCAATCAAACTATGTCCACTCAAGAAAAAACACAAGAAGTCAGACTGAGAAAAAACCTCCAGTAACTTACCAAGAGACAAGTAAAAAACAAAATGTCGTTTTTCATCCGAAATGAGGATCATATTTGGTCTTCAGTGTTGATCAAATGCTGTAAAATATTTTTGTAAAATAAAAACAGTGGCTTTACGTCTCCTCCTGTGTTTAGAAAAGCTTTTTAAAGCCCTTTTGTTTTTATCCAGAAGGTGATCATATAGTCCTCTTACCTTTTAAATTCACAATGTCTAGAACACTGTTAAAATGAAATCAAAATTTAAACGAACTTGCTCATGTTTGAAATACCCTAAGGATAAAAGCCCCATGAACATATCCAGTAATTGTTATGAATCAAAAGGGACCACCTGGACTTGGACTGCAAACTGGATCCATGTTGACATTTTGATCAATCATTAAAGGGGAGATGATGAGAGGGGATTTTGTTTTTTACACAATGCCTACATTACTATTTAAATAAAAACAGGTGTGAAATTGAGCAGAAAGAGAAACAACAATTTAACATTATGCTGGAAAAGAATTATAACAGTAAGAATTATTTTTGCACGCAACATAGATAATTGGGAAATAGAGATCACAGGGACGATTTTTGTGAAATATCGATTGGTGAACTTGACCACTGACCACCCTCTTTACCTGCCTCCTCCCACCTCTGGTTATCATTCACAGCAGTGCTTTCATCTTTCATTTGTACATGTTGCAACAATCCTTTTATTTAATTCCACTAAGCAGGATGAACTCATGTGCATACAACCTTTTTTTTTAATAAAACAAAATAAAAAATTCTACATCACAGATTCTCTTAGGAAGCCTCAAGACAAAAGCTGATTTCAGATATTTGACTTGAATACACAGCTTAATTATAGTTGTTTTCAGTATCACAATAACTTTTACACATGTTAGTGGAATTTCAATTTTCATATATATCATATATTAATGCTGATTTGGCACTTTGTGCTTACAGTGTGATATTCTGAACCTGGATTATTGTGCAGGATATCTCTATTCTCCTCTCTGTACATCTAACACAGCATAAGAAAGAAGTATTTTGTTATGTTAGATGAACCAAACTTTAAACTTTAAATAAGCTATTTGAATATATTTTGCAAATAATGTTCTTACCTTTAAAATAGATTATTGTAGGTTTTGTTCATCAGTATAATGAAGAATAACTCTGGTTTGAGATACCAGATCTCAACTTGCTGAAGTTTGTTCCTTCACTAAACTGTTCAGACCCAGTTCTTGTCCTGTATTTTATTATTCAAGGCGTTCTCATCTGGGATTTGGTATGCAAAGCACTTCCTGTTGTGAAACTCTGAGTCTCAGTCAGTCTTATAAATCTTTTCTTCTTTTGTTGTAAATACTAAAAGCATATATTACTTTAGTTAGTCAGATTAATAAGAAATTGATGACTAATCATTGCTTTAAAATGACCTTTCGATAAAATGTTTTGTTGTTTTCTAAGAACGCTGTGTTCATTCTTTACTTGCTATTTCCTAATTAATTTGTCCATTCAGCATTTTAGTTGATTTTGGCTGATTTTGTTATCTGTTGTCACACAGAGCAATTTCCGTCACATTATCTTAACTTCCTCTTTTTCCAGCCTATGTTTCTCAATGTATTCCTTACTTTTCCTTCATATTTGCTTTCCTGAAAGAAAACAACATTTTAACAAGGAAAATGTCAAATATTGAGAAGAAAGTTGATGGTTTGTTTCCAGTGTGTTGCCATTTACATACTTTTGTTCAAAGAAGAGGGGATCCTACAAAAAAATGGCCCTATCTGCTTTTTTGAGACGTGAGCAACTATTGAGCAATAAGAGGAGATGAGTAGTTGTCCCATTCTTGTCTGATAGGATTATAGCTGCTCAACAATCATGAGTCATCTTTATAGTTTTCATTTCATGGTGTGTTTCAAATGTTTTCAGGTAGTGAAAGGTAGTTCAGCATGTGGACTCTTCTGCAGTGAAGCAATGCTGTTGTAATAGTTGCAGCGTGCCGTTTAGCAGTGTTTCACTGGCATATGCAAGGCCTTACCTAACCCTAACCCTGAAAAAGACATTGTCTAGGTGGGAGCATATGTTGCTCTAAAACCTAGTGTTTACTTTTCACTGCACGGATGGTGAGTTTCCATTGCAAGCTGCCAATTCCATAGGCTCTAATGCAACCTGTACCATCAGGGATGCGGGCTTTTGAACTAAATGTTCATAACAAGCTGGATGGTCCCTCTGTTCTTTAGTCTGGAGGACGTGTTGTCCATGTTTTCCAAAAATAATTTAAAATTTTGATTCCTTTGACCAAAGACCAATATTCCACTTTGTCTTAGTCTATTTTAATTGAGCTTTGACCAAGATAAGACTGTTCATAGATGACTTCTTCTTAGCATGGCAGTGCTTTAACCTGCACTTGTGGATGCTACAGTGAGCTTTTCCACACTGACTTATTTTTGTATATCCTATGATATACTGTGAATCAATTTTTGTCAGACAGAAAAATCCAATGTGGTTAGCAAAGGTTATCATTGTCCCCTCACAGCAATAAACTTATGGGTTTGAATCTTGAAGTTTGCATGTTCCTTTGTGTCCTCTCTAGAGGTACTCTGGTCTTGTCCCACAGTTCAAAGACATGCATGTTAAGTTAACTGTTAATTGTAAATTGACTATAGGTGTGTTTGTGAGAATGGTTTTCTGTCTCTCTTAATTCGTTTTGCAACAGACTGGTGATAGCTAAGAAAATGGGTGGATGACTGGCCAAATATTTCAGCTTTGTTTGGTTTGTGGTTGTGCTTAGACTTGTGGCTAAAGTCTATGCTTATGTTTTCACATATTGCATAAAATGAAGTCACATAGTAGGTTTATTACTTTAAAATTCATGTGTGTATTTCTATAACACTCTCCATTCATTTCTTTATACTTCAAAACCAGAGTTTAGCATCTTCAGTCGGATGTGTGGGAATAAAGTGATAGAAAAAAATAGATACATTTGTTTGTCTATTCAGTTTTATATTATTTGTTACAAAGTCTTATTGCCTCAGACTTGGTAACACATAAAACAGTCCTCAGAGGGAAGTACTTGGTTCATCTGTTAAAAGCTTGCATGCAGTGAAAATGTCCTTATAGGGACTGTTTGAAGAAGAAAAAAAGGGTTGTAGCCAGCACAACCAGAGTCTGTGAATAACGTGAAAGTACTAACTGGCCCAATGAATTGAACTGAGTCTTGGCAATCTTCTATTTCCAAACTTTGTCAATGGCCGAATTTGAAACTAGTGTTAGAGAATACTGGAGTTTGAAAGGACAGCAGGTTAAACACATATTGACATTTGGGTAAATTATTACAGGATCTGAGGTTCTCTGATAGGAAATTACATCACAAAGCTACCTGAAAAAGAAGACATTGTGTGCAGTCTGATAAACAGGCTGGTCATGTCACAAACAAGATAATAGTCTAATAAGTAGAAATGCGTGTATATACCAGAGTTATAATTAGAACAGCAATTGCAGCGCAAGGAGTACTTTTATCTTGTTATTGGCTTGGATTTGTGTTAATATTAGACTGTTGTAAGGACCTTGCACTTCCTTAAGACAAATACTTTGAAGACCTTAAATTATGTATTAAAGGCAATACTGTACAGTTAGCAACTATTTTTAACTTTCAAATGCTCACTCTACTTCAGCTTGAATTGTTCTAACATTTTTGGCAAGTCCAATAGCGGCCACTGCAGTTTCCCCACAGAAAATAAAGTCAGATACACTTACCAATCACTATGTTAGCTACACCAGTTCAACTGCTGGTCAATCCAAATATCTAATCAGCCTTTGACATGGCTGCATCTTAGTGCATTTTAGGGAAAGAGACATGCCTCCCAAAGTTCAAACCAAGCACCAGAATGTGGAAGAAAGGGGATTTAAATGACTTTGAACATGGTTGTTGGTGCCGGACAGGATGGTCTAACTATTTCGGAAACTGCTGATCTACTGGGATTGTAACAAAACCCTACTGTGGTATAGGGAAAATATGTGGTATAGGGAAAAGGAGAAAATCACTGCATAGATCCATCCTGCTTGTATAAACGATTCAGACTGGTGCTAGTAGTATAATGGTATATGGGAACTTTGGCACACTTTAGGACCTTTAGCATCGGTTGTGCAGCTTTCAAACACCAAAGAATACCTGAGTGTAGCTGCTAACGATTCCCTTATGACCTCAGTGTACCCATCTTCTGATGACTGGTTTCAGTAATGTAATGTAATCAAGCATCTTTGCGATGTGGTTGGGGGCAAGTTCAAACTACAGCACTTCTGTTCCATTAGGCTATTATACAATATCACATTTTAAGTAGTGATGGGCAAATGAAGCTTTCTGAAGCATTGAAGCTTGTATTGAAAAGGGGTTAATTATTAAACGGTTTTCAACAGTCCTCTTTGGTGGCATCTGGTGGCCAAAAACATGAAGAGCATCTTAATTCTACAAATTAAACTGCTTCATTATGAATTCCCACTCAAGAGCTCAGTTGACAGCTTCTGTTTAATACCATGTGACAGTTATTCAATTCAATTCAATTCAATTCAATTCAATTTTATTTATATAGCACCAAATCACAACAAAAGTCGCCTCAAGGTGCTTCATAGATACAGAGAAAAACCCAACAATCATATGACCCCTATGAGCAAGCACTTTGGCAACAGTGGGAAGGAAAAACTCCCTTTTAACAGGAAGAAACCTCCGGCAGAACCAGGAACAGGGAGGGGCAGCCATCTGCTGCGACCGGTTGGGTGAGAGAAGGAAGACAGGATAAAAGACATGCTGTGGAAGAGATACAGAGGTTAATAACAGATATGATTCAATGCAGAGAGGTCTGTTAACACATAGTGAGTGAGAAAGTGACTGGAAAGGAAAAACTCAATGCATCATGGGAATCCCCCGGCAGCCTACGTCTATTGCAACATAACTAAGGGAGGATCCAGGGTCACCTGGTCCAGCCCTAACTATATGCTTTAGCAAAAAGGAAAGTTTTAAGCCTAATCTTGAAAGTAGAGATAGTGTCTGTCTCCTGAATCCAAACTGGAAGCTGGTTCCACAGAAGAGGGGCCTGAAAACTGAAGGCTCTCCCTCCCATTCTACTTTTAAATACTCTAGGAACAACAAGTAGTTCTGCAGTGCGAGAGCGAAGTGCTCTAATAGGGTGAAATGGTACTACAAGGTCATTAAGATAAGATGGGGCCTGATTATTTAAGACCTTGTATGTGAGGAGCAAGATTTTGAATTCAATTCTGGATTTAACAGGAAGCCAATGAAGGGAAGCCAAAACAGGAGAAATATGCTCTCTCTTTCTAGTCCCTGTCAGGACTCTTGCTGCAGCATTTTGGATTAGCTGAAGGCTTTTCAGCAAGTGTTTTGGACATCCTGATAATAATGATTTGCAGTAGTCCAGCCTGGAAGTAATAAATGCATGAGTATCACACAGTTATGTGAAATACTGGGCTACCATTGTGGTGCTGTATTATTTTGGAGTGAAAAAAATGTTGTCTATTTGTTTATTCATCAAATTTATCATTTGTCATTGTGTTCTCCCTTTGTTTCTGACTCCTTGACATTTGTAAACAGTTAAATAAAAAATAATTCTAAATGTATATTTACACTCTTAGAGTAGGTTGGGCGTAATGCTTGTGCTATGAGGTACCCGCCTCAATGTGATTATGTAAAAACCAGTGTGTGTCGTACCTTGGTTTGCTATTTCTTACACCAAAACACCACAAATCCCGCAAACAATCACTTCCTTATCCGTGCTCGCATTCTCGCCAGTCCGGACTTCGTAAGTTCACACTGGAGTCTGGACGCAGCGCGATTATTCGAATGGCAGTGTAATTGATGACATCTTCTCGCCGGGGTTTTTTACTGTCATCCCCTCTTAAATTTAATTGTGATTAATAAATGCAATGGACATTACACATGATATAAAAAAATACACGTGATGCAGTAGATTTCTTTAAGGAAGAAAAAACATAATTTTAAAAAAGTATCTTAAACACTGACAAAATTCGCTTTTACACATCATCTGCTTCATAACGTCTAATAAGCTTCATAGTTAAGCACAAGCACTACGTGACAGAAACACAAGCTTAATTTCTCTTAATAAAAATAGTATACATGTAATGCCTGAATAAAAACTGTTGTGATGATTTCTGATATGAGGTTCAGTTCTACAGTGGTGATCGCAGGGTGTGCACAGGTCAAGTGCCACTACGACCCTCCAGAAAATAACGAGGACAGGGGATGATCGTTCAGCTCTTTAATGGCAGATTTAGCGTGGGTGTGGGTATGTGTGTGTGTGGTTCTACAAACAGAATGGAAAATAGAACACAAATTACAATCAAATTATAGACAACAATAATCACCATATAACATATTACAGCCACATACTTGTCTTATAGGCCCTAATACTAAGCTGGCGGCTTTTACTTATAGTCTGAACCATATTTGACAACAAAGAAAATAAACATCTTCCCATCACTTAACTCTTGTGCCCCACTCACTTATGATGCCAACTAAAGAAGGCAATACACATAACAAATCACCAACTTAAACTGAACTCAGTTTGGCCTAGGCGAACTTAGCTTAGCTTAGCCTGCTTAGCTTAGCTTAGCGATAACTTAGCTTATAGAAAATGTACAAACAGAGGACGTCCAGAGCAATAAACATACAGGCTATCCTTCTTACACAAGAAATATCCTGTAACTCACCAATCTTATGGACGCACACTCTCATTGAACCCACATAAACTGCTCCCGAGCATAACTTGTGATTCACACTGCCTTCATGAACACCATTTTCCATCCCAGTCAAACATTACTCACAAAACGGCCGCGCCCTCTAGTGGCGAGGCAGAAAACTGCATCACAGTCCTGCCTTCAGAACAAAAACAAACCGTATTCTAAGATGTTAGAATACTTATTTTTATTTTAGTACACACTCAAAACTTAAAACAGACAGCTGGGATTCACGTGACTCTGACCAGATGAACCAAATGTGGGTTTTTTGGGTGGGGGGTTGAGACACCTGAGCATCAGCTTCAAATGGACAATCACTGATTTTATGATTCTAAAACAAATAGGAACACACTTTCATTCCATTAAAAAAATGGAAAAATAGATTTTTCTCCTCTACTCTTTTCGATTGAGTAAACTTTAATCCATCTTGGAATAAGGTTGTAGAGTTATCTACGATAAAAACTATGTATCTATTCGCTGCTGTTAGCTTTGGTATCACACCGTGTTACTTGAAATGTCAGTTAAAAGATATATTGTTCTAAACCTGGCTTCAGTTCTCCCCACAGAAGCATATTTCTGAACCCCATGATTGTAGCAGCTATTACTGAAATATGGTCACCCAGACCTGACCTATAGGGCACACTGCTGGTTAACCGTGATATGGTTGTACTTCATCACTGAACTAAAGTGGAATTTACAGATATCTGTACTTTACATGAGTAGTTATTATTCTGACAACTTTCTACTTTTACTCTCTACATTTTTAAATTAATATCTGTACTTTCTACTTCTTTCCTCTTCAATACAGGTTCGTTACTCTTGGTTAGTGGGCCGGTCCGGAAGAAGTGCACGTGTGCCTAAGTTGTGGCCTTGGTACCATATAACATTTGATAAGCATTACAGAACAGGACTGACCATAAAGGAAGCAATGTTTGTTTTGTTCTTTTTTAACTGTCAGGTAATTTCTAATGCAACATTTGAAATTACATGCAAGCAGCAGAAATGAGCTTCCTCCAAAGGATGGCTGGGCTCTCCCTCAGAGATTCAGGGACAGGGACACAGTACAATGAATATTCTGATACTGGATGACTGGTTTTCTTTGTTTTCGAGAAAGCATCCCCCTTAATATGCTGTTCTATTTTGTTAGCTGCATGAACAGAAGATGCATCTGGTTTATTATAAATAATAAAAAGTGCCTCAATTTTGTCCACTTGCCTCAGAGACACAGTGCATCCTGCTGAAATAATCTCCATGAGTACTGTGTCATCTCATGGAGTACATACACACACATGATGTGTGTGTATGTACACACACATGCATTGAAAAAACAGTCATGAAAAATAAAGTACACTCTCTTTCCATTTGAAGGCTCAACCTCAGCTGAACACGACATATTACACTGTGTGCCGTTTATTTAACAAAAGCTAACCCAAACAGCAGAAGCAGCCTCCAAGTTTATTCTTACTGCTTCCATAGGAATTAAGAGTGTGAGAGGCAGCCAGATGTTAATCAGTCAATCAAATGCACTTTATTGGCTGATCATCAGCAAGAAAATCAGGAAGGACAACCATATGTAATTCAATTACATTTTATTTTTATAATGCCAGATCACAAAAGTCACCCTAAGGTCTATAATAAATGGTTTATATTGCAGCGATATAGAGGGTCCTAACTGAAAAAGAACAGAAGGACTTTTTGGAGATGCTAACACTGTAGAGAGAGATCTGCTCTCCTTGGTGTCATATTCTATTGTACAGAACTCACAGGTATGAAATGAACAGAGGCAAGTGAAGGTGCTGCCTCAAGTGACTGATATTGTGTCAACTTTAGATCACCATTGTACGAGGTGACACCAGGGAGATGCTGGGCCTTTCCAGTAAGGCAAAAAAGTTGTTTATCATGACATGTATATCAGAAAGAGTTAAATTTATCAACAATTATACAAAACTGAGCAAACAAAGCACAAAGTTACTGATCTATAGTCAATATAGTATATAGTACTTATAGTACTTATATCGACTTATAGTCAATATAAGTCAGAAGCATTTCCATGAGGATTTCCATTTCCATTTTCTTTTGATATTCACAGCAGTATGACCTAATATCTACTTTAGGGAAGATGAAGATTTGTGATCTGAGAATTTATGGGAGAAATATCAAACACATGTGTTCTCTTATTATAATGTAGATAATTTCATTTCCGTCACTCCAGTTTACCTCTGGAGCAGGGTTCGTTGTGATTTCAGGCTTCTGTAGAGCAACAGAAACAGAAATTAAATGTTTGTTATGTATTAACCAAATGGCAAGCAGTGAGCTAATTTGTCAGTTCAAAATGAGCTATGAGCTATCTTACCTAAGCAGATAACACTGGCATCTTCATTATGCTCACAGTTATTTTGTCCAAAACCAGGATGTGAACAGTGTGAAAGTGCAGACTCTTGGCCTGAGCATGCTACGTTATCCAGCCATATAGGGCCAGTGCCTCTACCAAAATGAGCACTTTCAGGTGCTGAAATGGCATGACCGCATCCAAGCTGTCTGCATACCACATCAGCATCGCTCATTTCCCAAAAGTCATCACACACAGTTCCCCACTGTCCTTTATAGAAGACCTCCACTCTGCCGGAGCATTCACCTGAGCCACCCACCAACCGGACTTGTTCTGCATAACAGAGCAGAAAGAGTGAATACAAATTCAAAGGGACATCTTTAAAACAAACATCTACATGTAGTTCTCAAAAGACATCTGTGCTGTACATGTGCGCACAATATATTGTACAATATTTTCACATTAATATGTAGATCATATAGCTTAGATGCAGCTAACAGACTCTTTCGATTTTCAACGAATAACAATTACTTACGTGTAATATCACTTGGATATTATATAGCATTTAGTCACTTTTATTTAAAATGAAACATTAAATGTGTATACTACTCAGGTAGATAGTATGTAAGATAAGAAACTAATGAACTACATTAGGGTAGCTGTGAAGGAAGAAATGCCATCCCTGGCTTTTACAAAACATACCTGTAAGCACCTCTACAGCTTACATATACCAATTTATAACAAATTATACCAAGCAACTCTTGGTTTTACCTACTTCCTTAACTTACAAGCATGAAAGTGCTGTAGACTTTTTTTTTATCTGTTCAGGATAATATAAAAAACATTGTATTTTCAAAAAATAACAAACTAAGCATTTATTTGCATTGTGCAAATGAAATCACAATTTTTCATGCCTCAGTTTTTGTGGAATCAAATACTGATGAATTTCCTCTTTAATGTGTATTGTCTCATACGTTAAAACAAAACATCAAATTAGTTTCAAGTTCTTAAAAATGAACCTACATGCTTTTTAACAGCCACCAGAAAGTGACATCTGTGGTTTGCAAAATGCCTCCTATCCTACCAAAGTTTGAGGGAAAATGAGTTCTAACTTGATGCCTATGAAAACTTTCATTCTGAATTCATGGTATCAGTCATTCAGGTATACTGGTAAAAACATTTGCCTTACAGGTGAAATATTCCCAGTTTGCGAGTGGTACGCATAACAAACTCAGCAAAACAAGGTCACAAGTTAATGTAACCCAGCGCTGGGGGTATCAAAGCACCAAGACGGTGATGGTGAAAACACTTATCTCAAAGCTCCATAACAGAACATCAGGGCAGCGGTTGATGAAAGTTAGGGTTACCCTCATCATTCATAATGTCTATGACCTTAAGAAAAAATGTGCCAGAATTTTTAACATATAATAATAAGTCTTTACCTGCACAGAAAACACCAGCATCATGTTCATGCCCGCAGGTTGCTCTTGTAAAACCTTTGCCCGAGCATTGCTGAATAGAAGTCACAGTCTCAAAGCATGAAGAGCTAGCCTCCACCACTGGTCCACTGCCTGGGCCGTAAAAAGCAGCACCAGGAGCATTCATGGAACGTCCACACTGCAGAGTCTCGCACACCACTCCAGCTTTACTTAGAGTCCAGTCCGTGTCACACACTGTGTGCCACTGGGAATCATGACGAACTTCCACTCTTCCAGAGCACTTATGAGTACCGTTAACCAACCGGACAGTCAAGCTTCCTGTGAAGGCAAATAAAGAGCACATGCAACCACAGGATATGGAAGAATACAACATAAATACAAGAACTGTGATGTATTTAGTAGAGATGGACCGATCTGATATTGCGTATCGGATATCGGAGAAAAATAAAAAATGTAATCCGATCCATTAAATATCACGAAAGCACCTCACAAAACTTGCAACACGCCGTAACTCGCCTCAGAACGTTAGCACGTCGGAGCAGTATGCATCACGTGATAGAGCGGCTCTTAGTGATGTGCGATACCACTGATTTCCTTTCCGATCCGATACCAAGTACTTTTCAGGGTGGTATCGACGATACTGATCCGATACCGATACTTTATACAAAAAAACATATTTTATTTATTGTATCTCAAATTATAGCGTCATAATGATTACAGGACATCAGATTACTTGTTCTTATCACTTAATAATGCAGAGTTCATCACATAGAAATAAAAAAAACTGAAGTTGTGCGCTATTTGAATACCTTGCCTGCCTGCAGCACTAAAGGACTCTGTGAGAGAGTGTGTCTCGCCCTAGCAGCACCTGTCCCTCTCCTCCTCTTCAGTTCGTCTCAACATACGTGCCTCATATTCGGTGATATGATTTACTCTGAGGTGTTTGACAAGGTTAGTGATGTTGCCACAACCATACATGCCAACCCTCCCAATTTTTCCGGGAGAATCCCGGAGCCACCATTCTCCCACTTTTCCACCTGGACAACAAAATTGAAAAACCATATTGCAGAATTCATAGCGCGGCCGAGCCAATTCTAGTTTCCAACAATGGCGGCAGCGACTTAGTTTTAATATTACTCTTATTTCTCTTTGTGGGTCGCAAAAAACCCCAAACTTTTAACATGTTTTCAGGTGAGAATGTAGCTGTGTAAACTTCAAATATCTGAGCCGATCGACACATCATCTTCAAACCCCCGCGGGCTTTCACTACTCGGGTTAAACATGATATATAAGTCACTTTGATAACTTAAAAATGTTATTGTTTGGCTTTTTCAGTGTTTTGTTTGTTCGTGAGTAAATCGGTTTGGCTGAGATTAAAGTTATTAGATTAGATTAAATTAAATTTAACTTTATACAGCCGTATTTCGCACATGACTATGAAAGGCGGAAGAGGAAGTAGTTCCTTTGAATGTAGACAATCCGAATGTTATAGTTTCTTTCCACTGTGTTGCTGTTAATGATAAACTACAAATTAACCCTAAATTACTAAAAATATCGATATTTTAATGTGAGAATCGATTCTAGAACATAAATGACTGGTATCGGAGAAGGAGAAACTTGTATCTGGATTTCAGCATTTTTGGTGTTTTGCCAGATTTTCAAGCTGCCAGTTTCATGGGCATTAATGCACCCTCATACTGATGCTGTTGCTTGAACTAAAGACTGATAAGCAGTGTGGTCCCTAACCTCTTTACTTCACAGGACACAGCTTGTTTTCCAAAAAGAATTTCACTTTTTGATGATGTTAAATTCTTTTTGATGTTCTATTGTGAATCAAATATGGATTTGGAAATCTTTGCATTTATTCTTTACTTACATTTTAAAAAAAGATCCAAACGTTTTGTTTTTGGAACTGGGTTTGTATGTTTTTCTTACCTGTGCAGAAAACACCAGCCACTACAATGTTGTTGCAAGTCCTGTCTGAAGATATGGTCTTTGTTGACACTGATTCAATGTAGACTCTTTTCCATTGCATTCAATTTGATTTGTCCAGGTCTGTCCTGTACCAGGGCCAAGCTGAAGAAGCTTATGGGGCCTCCCACAGTCCAACTGTCTGCACACCACTGCTGCATCATTGATGTCCCAGGATTCAGCACACACAGTCCCCCACTGGCCTTTATTGAAATACTCTACTCTTCCATCACAACGAGTGGATCCACCGGCTAATCTCACATTACCTGGAAAGCAGAGTTGTTATATAAATCTAACATAAATCTATAAATACAAAGAAAAATGCAAAGAAAAAATACAAATGAATCATAACACCAACAGACCATTTTAGACTTAATCAGCTATGATTTCTGCATCATACAGATGGAATATGTTTTACAGCATCAAAAATGACTCAGAAATTGCTCTCTTCATAGTTTCAATGTTGCTGACCCTTGGCTATATTACCCTCACTGGGTGATCAGTGCATCATCAGATCAATAGCATTTACCATTGTAAGTGGTTAATATTCATCTGTTGTCTCACATTGTGTTTGCTAAATGCTGGTAATGGTGAAATCACTTGTTAGGCATAAAATAATTTGCCATATTGCATTTGTTCTACCTAGAAGTAGACTCTCCATTTAAAGGTATCAAAAAGGTCAAGTTGACCTCAATAAGTAAAGGGATTAATTATGTGTAATAATAATTTAGAGCAATTCAATAGCAAAATTGTGTAAAGGAACGGTGACGAAGAGAGGAAAACAATATAAAAACAAAGGTTCAAAGATGCAGCTTCATGCTAAATCGTAGTGGCCAGCTAGCTGACTGAAACATGTGCAGCACTGAAGCACAGCCTATTTACAGCATCTTATATGGTCCAATTCTTTTGTGTGTTCAGTGAATAGTCTGTGTGTGCTTTGGCTGGCCTAATCCTATTGGTCTTCTCTCTGTATATGCACTGCTATAGCACACATATGTGAAGATAGTGACATCATTTATAACTCGGGTTGTACCTGATTAACACATGTGTTTAGACTACAAAAATATTGATCTGATGGTTTGCATCAACACTTTAATTGGAAAAAATCATACTTGATCTGTTTGATAAAGAACTTCATGGATTCATTTTCTTTTTGAAATATAACATCAAGTCTTACCTGAGCATACCACAGAGGCCTCTTCAATACCTTCGGTGATAGATCTGGTATAGTTCCTAAATGTGCACTGTGTGACAGAGCTCTCTCTACCATTACAGTGGATCTCATGTCCTCTCAGATCTTCACCTTGACCAAATGGCCTTGAAATCTTGACAGGATCTCCACAATTTATCTCTCTGCACACCACTGTGGCTTCATTCATTCCCCAGTTAATATTAAATGCTGGTGACCAGTGTTCACCATAGTGGACCTCCACCCTTCCTGAGCACATGTCAGTCCCATTGATGAGTCGAATGGTAGCTACAAAGCAAAGAGGACAAAATCAGCAATTAGTTGGTGCCTGAAAATTGCATTAATTGAAATCCATACAATATTCTCACTGATGTCATGGAAATAACTGTGATATAAATTGTGGTGGGCCGTGGACTGTGATGCCGTGCGGATGCGCCTGCACGGCATCTGCAATGCATCTGTGTTAAAACATGGGGAATCAGTGTTGTAAGTTGGTGTAAGTGTGGTTGAAGCCGAGAGCTGCAGCCACATATAATAAAGATGGCTCTAAACAACAACCTCTGGAAGTCATATCTAAAGATTAAAAAAAGACACAATATTTAATGACAAAATAGTTTTTACCTGAACAAATCACTCCTGCATCTTCCCTGTGTCTGCACGAAAATCTTCCAGAGGGGCGATACCTGCAGTGCCCAAGGGACGTCTCATTACCCAAACAGTTGACAGAAGAATAC